CAGCCCACGCCCCGCTCACCAGTGATGGGGATGGTGTCCCCGCTGCCCGTGCTCTGGTAGATGCCCAGGTCCACGAACATGGTGAAGGAGCTTTTGCCAGGGGCCTTGACCAGCCCCCGCGACTGGTACTGGGGGTGGGGACGGACGGACAGGGTGAGACACGGCCCCCGCTCAGGTATCCCCCTCCCCTTCCCCCCTCTCCCCCCACCAGCCCCCCCATATCCCCTCCCCCCCTGCCCCTCCAGCTCCCCTCTCCCCCGCCAGCTCCCCCCACAGCCCAGTTAGGGGCTCACACGGGCTCCCTGATGTGACCCGTGCCCCCCAGTGCCCCCCGCACCCCGGGGCTCACGTCGCTGGCGCTGTCCTTGGCAGGGGAGCTGTGGCCCTTGGGCTCGGTGGGCGAGTGGCTGGGCTGCACCACGTCCGGCAGGTTGGTATAGCCGTTGCTGTCGGCGTGGAGCAGGCTGCGCTCCTCCTCGGGGGTCTGCGGGGGGCACAGCACCCGTCATACCGCCTGGGGCCACGCCAGCTCTGCCCCCTAGGCATGGCGCCCCGTCCCAGCCCCGTCCCCCAGGGCCATCCCAGCCCCGCCCCGCGCTCACCCGCTGCACCAGCATGGTGCCGTCCCCGCCGTAAGAGCCGCTCTCCGACCCGCTGCCCGATGGCTCCTCCACCTCGTGCACCACCATGGTGCTGACGCTGTCCGTGTCGCCGTCGCCGTCCCCGCCCAGCCTGGGGGGCAAGGGGCGCGGGTCAGCCCTTCCCCAGTGCTCCCCTACACCCTGACTCCCCCACCTCCTTCCCATCCCTACACCGTCCCCCAACCTGTCCTTCCCATCTGCCAGCTCCCCCGCGCCCCCCCCATGCCCTACCTGGCCCCGGCGGGCTCACCCCCCCCGTCCTGGGGCTCCCCCTCGGCCTCGTCGTCATCCTCCTCACTGCTGTCTGGCTCCTCGCTGGAGGAGGAGTAGTCCATGGCCTTCTTGGGGGGCTTGGGGGGCTCCTCGGGCCGCTCCTTCAGCAGCACAAAGTTCTGGGGGGCCAGGCGGGGGGTTAGTGCCACGTTCCCCGCGCCCGGCCAACAGCCACACCGCACACAAGCAGCCAGCGGGGCGGGGAGCTCCTGAACCCCAAACCCCAGGGGAGGGCGTGGGGGATGGGGGTTAGAGCAGGTGGGGCTGGGAGCCTGGGTTCTCTCCCGGCTCTGGGAGGGGAGTGGGGGCTGGTGGGTTAGAGCAGGGGGCG